AGGCTTTAAAGCTGATCTCAGCTCCTCATTTGTGTTTGATGGATGAAAAGTGTGCAGAGAGAGGACAGCTGTGGGGGTGATGCTCAGCTTGTTGGTAAGAGAAAATCACTTCCAGAGTTGAGATTAAGCCCCAACTCTGACTTTTACTGTGGTATTAAATCCAATAAAAGTCACAATAAAGCGTTCCTGCTGGAAAATTTATATTTAGATAGTATTTTATATGATCAGCAGGGCAAGGGAGTGTCCAAAGGCAGGCACAGGGTGGCACTGCCCCTTAGTGTATTATATTGATTTATTGATTTTAGATAGCAGTATATAGAGAAATAAAACACCCCCAACTACACTGAAGTGACAAATAAACACTAAGTAATGAATAATTATGATCCAAAGGGGTACTTTTACTTTGGGTCTTGTAATTAAAAGTTAAAGTTTTTTTTATTATTAAACAGGACTGCAGCTTTTACGTAAGTCTAAACGCGTTTCGTCACTTTTTTTATACATAACCCTGAAACTCTTGTGCAGTATCACTTTTCATGTAGTAGACCTGTTTGAGGACACATGGGGCTGCTGCACATGAGCCTGAAAATCGTGCCCAGTTTTCTCCACAGTATTTATTTCCCCGCTTTTTGCCATCCCAAACAATCCCGGAAACGCCCCTGCACTAGCCCGAGGATCCCTTAAAGTCTACCATGTATTTAAAATATTCAGTTACGTCCAGAAAACACATGGAGTCTACCGTCTTTCAGCTCCCCGCAAAGTGAAATAAAGAGGGAGTGTAAGGACAGAGAGGTGGGTGGGGGGAAGGGGCGGGGTTTTGGAGGAATCGCTTTGGTTTTACGCACCAGAGACGGCGCAGATGCTTCTGTCAGTGGAAAGCCGTCAGCTTTCAGCTCGCTGGAGTCCACGGTGGATTTAACTATCTGTCATCTCAGCAGAGCAGAGCAGAGCGGCTGGCTGAGGCTGCAGGTCCTGCAGAGGCTGTAGAGTCTCCTGTGAGCATCTCCAGAAACTGCTGGTGCGCCGAGAGCGGTACGTGTACATTTACTGACAGCTTCACAGCATAAGGAGGGGGGGCAAAGGAGCAGCTTTAGGTAGCTTTACTGTGTGAAAAATGAATGTTTTTGTGAGGTCTAGTTTTATCAGCGGAGGCACAAACACCTGTCTTCGCCTGCTGCAAAACTAGTTACTGACATGTTTTAGTCATCGTTAAATATCTGCGTGGATTGAGGCTTTAAAATGAAAGGTTCCACTCTTTAAGAAGGCTCTCTTCATGACCCACTCATGGCTTTACTAATGGTTAGTAATTGATCAATTAAATGAGAAGCTTGCAGGTTGCCAGGTTGTAATAACTCACTCTAGTAATTAGGTTTAAAAGTGAATAACTGCTTAGTTGAATTAAAATGTGATAATTCAATGTACTCTAAAGCTGCACTGTTATCTTTAAAATGTGCCTTATTAGAAAGTGGACTCTAAAGTTACGTGGGACCGATATAAACCAAATCTTTGAAGCCAAAGGAAGTTCTTTTAGTGTGAGGAAATAATGATGCTATTTGGGGGTTTGGGAGCCTGAACATGGTCCAAATGAGTAACTGATACTGTGAATAAGTGCCTTTGAAGTCAGATTTATGAGAAAAAGAACAAGGAGACCCTTGAGGAAACACTTCCCCCCTCAAGAGCTGAACTGGCTCAGATGCCGGAGGCACACAAAGTAATATCTGGCCAATAAAATCCCACACAAACAAACATGTTTTGCACTCTAGTCTGTTTCGTGTTAACGAGGCCCTTCGGTCCTGTTCTGTTGGAGTGATGTCATGTCTCCATCAGATTACAGATTTTGTTCTGGAGACTCAGCAAACAGCTGCCCCCCCCTGCCTCCGGCACTCATAGTTTCCATCACCGCACACCATCCCCATGTTCCAATCCATTAGGTCAAATTAATACATTCATTGAAACAATCATCTCCGATTGCGCTCTCACCCTGAAGAAAAGTGTTTTTGTTTCCTGCTGAATGGAATTCCTGACCTTTGTCTTTTTTTAGAAAACAGAGGGCAGAAGAAGAAAAATGCCTTTTTGTTTTCTTTTCTTTCCCCTTCCCTTCATGGTGGAACCACACAGTGTTGCCACGTTTTGACCACAGTCACATTCCTCTGAAATTCTTGTGTTGGGTGAAGGTTGGTTGGCTCCAGCTCAGTGGAGATAAACCCCAGACTTAGAAAATAAAGGGAAAACTGTCAGAGAGGAGATGATTTTTACGACTGTCTGCCACACGTTCAGACCGTCAGTGTCATCGAGTCAGTCTCACACACATCCCTGTCTTTTCCATTTCCTAGTCCTGTTGTGCAGCTTGTGATGAGTTTGTTGGAATTTCAGGAAATTCTTCTTGCATAGCTCTCCTAAAAAAAAGGTTAAGCCAAGAGGCAGCTATCACTGTCATAATAATAAAAAACATTTAAAGTGTTTCACATAGATACATTAAAGAAGTGGACAAATCTCTCCATAAAAAAACACATTTAAGTACATGTTCATACATAAATTCATAGAAACAAGAAAGTGTGTGAAGAAGAGCCAAAAGTAAATGGTCTGGTTCTTATATAGCGCTTTTCTACTCTATTTAAGCACTCAAAGCACTTTATACAACTAACTCATTCACACAAGCACTTTTTCTAATCTGTTAGTGCGTATCTAACATTCATACACATTCACACTCCAATGGATGCATCAGAGAGCAACATGGCCAAGGATAGTTGACATGCAGACTGGGGGGAAGCCAGAAATCGAACCACCAACCTTCCGATCCGTGGATGACCGCCTGAGCTCCAGCCACCCCAAGTAAAACGTGAATTATTTGGAAAATATTTGGTTCACCTGGACGCAGCGTTTTCAGCAGGAGGAACATTTCCTCACCCATCCACGTGACTTTTTCAGTCTCATCTAACTGCAGGCATCACCAAACATATAACTAGATCAAAACCAGCACCGTCACATAGAACGTGAGCGATGAGATCAGTTTCACATTTGCTGATCAATGGCCAAGAACTGGAGGATGGATGAGCTCAATCGTTCTAAGATGGTGAAAGATACACTTTCCCTTGGTTCACTCCCATTTCTATGGCTTCACTCACTGCTCAAACCAGTGTTTGTCCACGATGTGTACAACCCCATCACTGACAGAGTGGCCCCTTGGCTGTAGGTGTAAATAGACATCTGGGGAGTCCTGACACAACCAGGCATCTTTTCAGTGTTGTCCCATTTGTTTAGCACAGAGGTGTCAAACTCATACAGCCCACTTTCACCAGCCCAGTGAAGCTCCCTTGACTGTCAATGTAAAAGAGTTTTAACTTTTTCGTTAAGTTGCTGAAGAAGAGAAAGAAGTCCAGTTTTAACATTACGTCTCAATGTTGCTGTATTAAAGAAAGAAATCTGTGAGCACATCTCTTTTGGGCTTAAATTAGAAACAAGAAACCGTTGTGTACAATAAAGCAAAAAGTATCTGTTAATTCACAGAAAATGGGTGAGGCTTTTATCAGTAGGAAAAGCTTTCCAAAGCTGTGCAGTGGGCCAGATTGGAGCCTGTGATAGGTGGATTCTGGTCCCTAGACCTTATGTTTGACACCCCTGGTTTAGTCAGTGGTTGCTTGATTTCTCTTTTGTATAATTCAAAGCAATTCTTCTGCCACTTAACCACACAGGTGCCCAGTTTATTGCTCTCTTTGTGCCAGGGGATCCAATCCTAGGGGTGGACCAATTGGTGGTATTTGAAAGCCAAAGAAAAGAGCAAATGTTTAAAGGCAAAGTTAATCTATGAAAATAAGCTTTCAGGAGTCACTTAAATCGAGCCAGTCTTTCAGCTGACATGCTGGAAAATGACAGTTTAGGAGATAGAACATCAGACCCCGGTTTAAAATTAAAGCTTTACACAGTATATCTGCTGTATAAGCAGGATCCTGGACATGTCTGGCTAGTTAGTGTCCAAAAGCATCACTGAAGCTTTCTAATTAATGCATTATGTCCTGTAGGTTTAAGTAACACTCAGTCTGTTACATGGAGAGTTTGTAGCACAACAACTGTTCAGTGAACTCTGACCAAAATGTAAATCTGTTATTCAGCAGCACTGCAAACTTCCCACTTATTAAGTCAGTTCAATTCAACTGTATTTAGCAGTTTACTACAACAGTTGCCTCATGGCAGTTAATATCATGAGGAAAAGAGGCTAAAATATCAGAGAAGGAGCCACAAAACCTGTGAGAAAGGAAATGGTGACAGTGAGAAGGAAGAACTGGCTTTTAACAGGAAGAGGCTCCTACCAGAACCAGGCTCAGAGAGGGGCTGCTGTCTGCTGCGACCTGTTGGGCAGTGAGAGGAGAGAGAAAAGAAGACAGGAGGGTGGCAGCATTTCAGTCAGGTTCAGGACTTTGACTGGAGCTTTGTAACCCCCTAATTCTTTTCATTTTCAGCCTTTCTGTTTTGTTCCTGCTTAGGATCATTGTGCAGTAGGACGATCAAATATGAGCCAAGCTTCAGCTGTCAGACAGATGACTTCACTGTTTGTTCAGTCTTTTTCTAATTGTTCTGTAACTTTAACATTTAACATGCTAACTGAGGCCTGCAGAGTCTGAGATGTAGATCTGACTGCTACTTACAGTGGGGCAAAAAAGTATTTAGTCAGCCACCGATTGTGCAAGTTCCCCCAC